ACCATAAATATTCTTTCATAAACCACCACACCTCCAACGCTTAACCAAATTTTCATTACCATCAAAATAGCCTACCATATTCATTTACATCAACTACCAAACCACTCTGTTTGAGCCATTCACTTATTTGCATGTTGTTTTGCTTCCTTCCTAGATCCATAATCAATTGAGGGTACATCACTCTTACATCAAACAATATTCAGAGTTTTGGTGGAATAAGCAATGTGCAACAACAACACATTCAAAATACAAAAAGAAAATTGAAGTGTATGTGAAGAAAGTTCAAAGTCCAACAAAGAAATTGCAAGCATTCAAGAAGAAAACAAATCAAAAAGAAAAGAAGAAATTGCAAAGAAAAAGAATTTGAAAGCACAACAACAAGTTTTCATCACCAAGCAAGTCAAGTAAGAATTTCTAAATTGATTGTGGTGATAGAAAGGTTGTAAAGTGACTTTGTTTTAAGTAACCCCTTTTCTTCTTTTCTTTCTTATTTCTAAGCCACCTTATTACATTATATTTTGCTTTTCCATACCTACTAACCCATTTGCAGTCGACTCACAAAAAGTATGACTACTTGATATAGTTTTGAGGAAAGTTTACTTAGAACTTGAGAAAAGAATATCGAGAGAAAAAAGGCTTGAGCGTTGGAGACTAGAAGAGGACAAGTAAAAGCCTTGAAGTCCTAGAGTACAAACACAAGTGAATTGAGTGTCATTCAAGTTTCTTTGCAGTGAATTCGCGAGGCTTTGTGAGAGCATTCCTGGTAAGGTCCTCTAACACATTTCCTTTTATTATTTTTCACTAACAATGTCTCGAAGTCCAGGACAATCACCCGGAAGAGAAGCACCAAATTTGCAAACCCAAGCAATTATGCATGAGATGGCTAGATTGTTGAAATTGGAATTGGAACCATTACATGACATAATAGACCAAGTTGAAGCATCCTTAGGCAACAGGAGAACAATACGTCTAAGACTTAAAGAACAATTTGAGGAGGAGGAACAGGTTGAGGTAGATCATAACTCACAAGGATCCAGAAGAGAAGTTCACAGGAATCATTGGGGAATATATCAAAATGATAACTTCAGCAACATCAAAGTGGCAATTCCTCCATTCCAAGGAATAACTGATCCAGAAGCTTATCTTGATTGGGTAATCAAAATTGAACATATTTTTTTAGTGTCATAACTATTCGAAGCAAAAGAAAGTATAACTTGTTGTTATGGAATTTATGGACTACGCTCTCGTTTGGTGGGATCAACTAGTAAGTTCAAGAAGAAGAAATGGTGAATGCCCAATCAACACTTGGGAAGAAATGAAAGTCATCATGAGGAAAAGGTTTGTACCAACTCATTATCATCGTGATCTATATCACAAGCTTCGAAACCTCAAATAAAGAATAAAGAGCGTTGAAGATTATTTCAAGGAGATGTAGTTAGCCATGATTAGAGCCAATATGGATGAAGACAGAGAAGCAACAATGGCAATGTTCTTGTTTGGTTTAAATCCTGAAATTGCTAACCTTGTTGAATTGCAACATTATGTAGAGATTGAAGAGATGATACACATGGCTATAAAGATTGAACAGTAATTAAAAGGAAAACCTTTAATAAGAGTAGCACTCATTCGACCACCAAATGGAAACAAAAGCCCAATAATTTCCGAAAGCCAACCCCGGTTCAAGTAAAAGATAATTTTTAAGGATCAAGAATAAAACAAGTGGGGAGTCCAGTAATGGAAATAAAACAAGTCAACACTTTCGAAAGGTCAAAAGACATCAAATGCTTCAAGAGTTTTGGGAAATGACATGTTTCCATCCAATGTCCCAACCGACACACTATGATACTATTAGACAATGGAGATGTCGTTTCAAATTTAGAAGAACCTGTTCATGACGAGGAACAAGAAGCAATCTTTGAAGAGGAACCAGATGAAAAGGAGGTTACCATTGGTGGAGAGATTATTGTTTCAAAAAGTTGCCTCCAATCACAACCAATTAAGGAAGAGTTATAAAGGAACAATATCTTTCACACTAGGTGTCATGCCAAAGACAAGGTCTGCACTATGATTATTGATGGAGGAAGTTGCACGAATGTAACCATCACTATTATGGTGGACAAGCTAGGTTTATCAACTTTGAAGCATCCAACTCCATATAAACTCCAGTGGGTCAATGAAGGAGCTGAGATGAATGTCACCAAACAGGTCTTAATTCCATTTTTCATTGGCAGATACAAGGACGAGGTAGTTTGTGATGTAGTCCCTATGCACGCTAGTCACATCTTACTTGGGATACCATGTCAATATGATAAAAGAGCCATTCATGATTGCTACAACAACCAATACTCCTTTAAACATGAAGGACACAATGTCACTTTGATTCCTATGACGCCTAAAAAGTTCAACAAGACCAGATTCATATGAAAAGAAATGTGGATGCCTTGCGAAATAATAAGCCACCATTGAAAATTGAAAACAAACAAGCCATGAAGTCAAATTTTTTCATGAAGAAATGCGATGATTCGTTGCAGGAAAATGAAGAGATTTCAATGAAGGATGGTGACGATTAGAGCTTAAAGACATAATTTCTCACAAAGAGTCACAACTTATGTCCTCAAAAGGTATGTCCCATTTTTCAAACATCACGCCTTTTCATTTCTCAAGAAGAGTCAAAAGAAGGATCACTTCCAATAAGGTTATCTTTGGAAGGAAATCTTTCCAAAAAGGTTCATGTTGCTAACTGGTATTCCAAAGAAATGTCTATTGGAAGACTTCATGAAAAGGTAACTATTGGAAATGTTCAATCATCCAAGAGACGCAACTCTTTGTCAAAGAAAAGAATCGGTCAAAAGCATACAAACAAGCAATCATAAAGGAGTATGAGAGGACACAACGTTGGACCATTCAAACATACCAAAGACTTCGATTTGAGAACAAATCACCTTAAAGAAGAGGGGATGATGCAAGCTCGTTCTCACCATTCACAACCATCGTTTCATTAGCAATCATGGGAGTCCTCTTAAACTTTATATTCTTTTATTTCTTTTATATTATTCTGATCATCTTTACATTCATAATCTATTTTTTAACATATGGTGAACAATTTATGTTTAGATTACTAATTATGTATTTTTATGAATTAAGTAACTAGTTTATTTTAATCAAATCTTTATATTACTTGATGCATGATGTTATCTCAGCTCATTATTAAGTATGTTATTGATTCATATTAGTTATATATTCATTTAGATATATTTCATTTCATTCATGAATTGGCAACATGTTAATCCTTTATTTCCTAGCTCATTTCAATTCAATTCAGCTCATAAGTCATATTTATTAGCTCCTTAATATAGTATCATCTTAAACTTAGCTCATAATGTCATTCTTTAGCTCACAAGCATATATTCCCACATGACAACATGCATTTGCATTCATTCCAGCTCAATCACTTTGATTTACCTTGTTTTCTTTGCACATGTAGGTACATGAAGAAATGACACACATTATGGCAGCTTGGTGGATTGATTGTCACTCTATGACAGCTCACAACTAGCTCTCAATATATATGGCAGCTCGTGGAAAGCAATGGAAAGCTCAATTCAGCTAGAGGAGCTAAGGACTAGTTAAAGTCAGCTAGGTGGACTATTTGAAGCTAAGTTGCTGAAGGTGACAACATGGGCAGTTGAAGGTAGCTAAAAGTGGTATTAAGGAGCCAAGGAGGTCACGGCTAGAATCCTCACTCAAAACCAACCTATTTGCTCAGCTAGTTATACATTCAAGCAAGCTTGGAGGAGGACCAACGCACGCCCATGGCTGTTGCACATGACCAACTCTTCATCACATGTCCAAGGCTACACCATAAGCATTCTATGACACCATGTGCAAATCATATGAGCAACAACCATGTGCCATGTGTGTGGATACTCTTTAAGTGCGCCAAACATCAAGGGACATCACCATTCGACCAAGGCTTGGGATGCTTCATTTAGGCGTTAACTTGAAGAGATGTGATCACCATTCGGCCAAGGGATATGTCCCTCCCATCCAACCGAAACATTACCTTATTATTCATGTATCTATTTAATTTATTTTCTGAATATTTCAAATGACACAAGGGTGGCCAAAAATGCTTGTAACCATTCGGCCATGCCCCTTTATTTCCTATAAATAGGTTAGGCAATTTCCATTGTACACCTACCATATTCACCTACATCAACTACCAAACCACTATGTTTGAGCTATTCACTTATTTGCAGGTTATTTTGCTTCTTTCCTAGATCCACAATCAATTGAGGGTACATCACCCTTACATCATTACCATTAAATATGCTTTTACCACTTTCATGGACTTGGTATTTCAAGTCACTCTATAGAATCACCCAAATCTATCCTACATCAAACGTCAAAAAGGCAAAACAAGCATGATCATAAACGTCAAAAAGGCAAATCAAGCATGATCATGCACTTGAAGTTATACATCCTTAGTCCTTGTGCATAATATAGCCATTAACTACAAATTACACAAAACAACATGACAACATAACCACTATTCTAAGAGTTTAGAACCAAGATCATTTACATTATCACTATAACAAATTTATTTATTTGTAAAATCTAAAATATTTTCATTAAAATTTATATTTACTTCCCAACGAACATTAACTCAAATGTACTACTAAATGTCAAATGTGATAATGTATATATTTTCTACATGTGTTATTAATCATATAGTAAAGATAATTACGTTACAAATAATATGAAATTCCTTCATTTATTATTTGTATTGTCATCAATAATATAATACTTTATTTAAAGAAAAAACATATTCATAAAATTATCAAACAATTCATTCATGTATTACAAGAGTAATATAAACTAAAATATATAATAAATATTCAATTTTTTAACAGAGCCGATAAATCGGATAAAACCAAAAATCCCACCTATTGAATATTTGATCCATTTTTTTACCATAGTAAACAAAAAGTTAGCCTGGGTAAATTCCGTTATTTACAAAATGTAGAGTCTATTTGAATGACTGAATCACGCTTCCTTGAGCAGGATAACATGAGAATTACAGCTGATGTTGTTGCAGTCTTTCATTGTCCTCCATTGTTCACCTATGTCCCCAGCAATCTTAACGGCGTCAGACGCCGTTCCTAGGAGCCCTCTCCTTGTGAACCCAACCGTGTACAATCCCTTATCTGCTTTCCAGCCATTAGGAAACGGCGTTTTAGGCATCCCATCTTTGGTGAAAACTTCACTTCCCTATATGTCCAATAAAGGCAAAAAAAATACCTTAGTATTAGTTCCAATGTCATACAGAATCCATGTACAAATGAGTGAAAATAGACGACTAAGATTAACAGTAATAAAATATCAGACGTCTGTCTATCTTCAATCATCGAATGATCTTTTTAAAAATCAAAAGTTTTACATAATCTAAGTGGACCCTCGCACTTTATAAGTTATTAAAACAAATTGAAAAAAAATTGTTAGGTGTTAACCTTAAGCCAAGTAGGCACATTGCTTTTGTAGCCAGTTGCCAAAATTATTGAATCAAACTCCTTTTCTTGTCCATCCATGAACTTAGCTCCACTCCTTGTGATCTCTTTCACACCTTCCATCACCTGAAATACCTAACATCATCAACTGAACATATTGAAAAAATACAAACACAAACATAAAAAAATGTTTTTACAGCACGAACAATGGGATTACCTTGATTTTACCAGACTTTATCTGTGACAGTGCACCGACATCCAGCACCGGAGTCTTTCCGGTGAAGTTCTTGAGCTCGATCGGGCCGGTTTTCGGTCGTCGAAGACCAATTCGTTCTGTTTTGCCCAAGGTGAAGTTGGCCACCAGCAATAGGAATTTATCAACTAGTCTTACTGAGAACCATTTGAGAAGTGACATTGCTATACCAAATGTCGAGAAACCAAACATCTCCCTAGGTAACACATGCACCTGTAAGAAGAACAAAAACATCAAAACATATAACAATAATAACAATAACAAGACCCAAAGTACAAATAGATGTTTGTAATGTATGTATGTTATTCTTAAAAAAGATTTTAAATAAATATTTACTATAATCATCGAGACTATTAAAAAAAATGGAATGTCTTCGAAGCCTAGATGATTAACTCACTGTGTTTCGAACAACCAAATGAGGGATTGCATTATGTCTACAAAGGTCCAAGCTGACCTCCATGCCGGAATTCCCACAACCAATAACCAAAACCCTATGATTCTTAAACTCAGAACCAGACTTATACAAGCTTGTATGCACTACGGGACCTTTGAACTTATCGATCCCGGAAACCTCCGGTATCGATGGCTCGGCATTTTCACCTGTGGCGACGACAAGCCACCTCGAAATGTACTCACAGTCCTGAGTTTTAACCCTCCAAAAACCCAATCTATGATCAAACTCAGCTGTCTGAACCGATTGTTTGAACCTAGGGAGTATTTGGAAATGTGAGGCGTAGGACTCCATGTAAGATATGAACTGGTTCTTGGTTGGGTACTTGGGGAAATCGTGAGGGAAACCGAGGAGTGGGAGTTCACAAAACTGTTTGGGGAGATGGAGTTTGAGACGATCATAGGTTCGACGTTGCCATAGAGAAGCTAAGCAGTCGGTCTTCTCGAGAATAACGTAAGGCACACCTTGGTGAGTAAGGCAAGCCGATGTTGCTAGACCAGATGGTCCTGCTCCCACAATGATTGGCCCATGAACCCAAACGCACTTTGCTTCTTCTTCGTACGTAAATTGCCGGTTTTCTTCATCATTAAATGATCCCATATCGAGAGGGAAAACAGAAGAGAAAGCTCTGTAGTTTTCTGGGATTTGTAAGAGAAAGGGAAAGCACCCAAAGACTGAGGAAAAGAGAAGAGAAAAGCAGCAGCAGCAATAGTCTATGGTTTTCAATGCCAGATAAAAAGCAAAGATAACAGAGGACAATAGTGGGGTTATTAATGGCGAGTTCAAAAGGAGAATTATGAGTTGCAATTAATTTTAGCAGAGAAAGAGAGAGTTAATGGAGGCGTGAAGGGAAGGAGAAGGATTTGCTCTGTTTCTCAAGGTTGGCTTCTTCTCTGCAGCGGCAAATGAGCGACGAGTCGATATAAATACATATTTATGCATTCCATTTGTACTTTTTTTCTTTGTTTTCTTTTTCAAACAAGAGCAATATTTTCCCCCCTAAAAACCGCTAATTTTATTTTTTAAAAAATACATAATTATAATAAAGATTTAAAATCATAATCATAAAATAAACATACAACTAAGATACAAAAACTCGAATAAAATATAGATACGAATAAATTTGACTGCATCATAAACGAACAAAAAAAGATAATGAAGCTATTGAAACACCAACGATAAACCGTATATTAGAGTTGAGCGACGTAAAAAATAGTTCATGAACACAAATCACGTATCCAAATTTAATTCAAGAACCCAAAGCAGGGAATATCAACATTATAACAAATAAACGCCATCTTAATTAGTCCTGACGAATGTAAATCCAACCCTGAGAAAAAGATAAACAAAAACCAACAGCCAAACAATTACAAATATGCCAAAAGACAAAAAATTTACCATAAAAACAAAAAAAAATGTGTCATAAATATAAAATTATTAAAATTTTAAAAAAAAATCAAAGATATAATATAAAAAATAAAAGAAAAACAATAAATATCGACGGAGACAACTAAAATCAAAGTTGATATCGTAATCTATCAATAAAAAAATAAAGAGAAGAACCACCAACATTTAAAAACCCTAGTTTCATAATCCTTTTTTTCAAAGAAGAACAATATTGTTACTTCATTTTTTCCTTAATTCATTTTAATGCCCTTTCAAAAAGATAATAATTAATAATTACATTTTATAATGCCAATGATTAGAGTCAATAAATATTTAGTATTATATTTGTGTGTGTAGCAATATAAGATTTGTACACATCTTTACTAATTAAATGTACGATTCTTGAACTCATTAAAGTAGTTTTAGTTATAAAGAGAATTTTGTTCTTTCAAAAATACTCAAATTCTAGTAGTTATATCTGTATAGTATATGTTGTTAATATATTAAAAAAAATTTCAAATAAATATTATATTGTAATCACCTTATACTATCTAAAAATTATTTGATTCTTAATAAGTATAATATTTTGATTATTTTATTTTAAAATTATATAACATTTTGAAAATATGAGAATATATATAATAATATTTATTATCATTTATTATCCACTCAAAATTATATAATTATGTTTATCTAATATAAAAATTAATAGATGTGTTTATTTATTTTGAATCTGTATAAATAAATTAAAATTAAAAAAAATATATGTACAATTGAAACAAAATTATAATATATTTAATAATATGTGTGTATATATACATGTCATATTACATATTAAATCAAGATTTGTATAAAAGAGTTATATATTAAAAATGAAACATGATGGATATTTGTTTGAAGTTAATTTGAGAATAAAAGATAGAGACGAGGGGTTGTAAAAATGTACGGCGTCAACTGTTTCATAGGAGATCAATTTCGCAACGTAACCCACTTCGCATACAATGAATTACCGTGTCTATATCTAAATTTATATACATATTATATCAATCTGTCACTTTTTTTTTTATTTTTTATCCTATAGTATCCACCGCCATGCACACTGGCTTCGTGGTTGGCGATCGATGATGTATACGTTGATAAATTACTTCTTTTATGAACCAAACGGGTTATGGTGGTTATTAACGATTCATTCCTTTTAATTTGGTTTAAGATCAATTTGATAGAATATGTAGATAATGATGATTAGTGTATAGTTATATAAAATTGTTTAACTTTCAATAACAGATGATTTGATTGGTATTATTTAAACAGATAAAGTGATTTAACTGGTAAAATTCATAACATATAATTTAGTGATTATTAAGTAGTTTACCATTTAAAATATATTAAAGTGTGATTCATCCTAAAATTCTTCCTTTTGAAAGTCATATTTAGTTTTAGTATCAAAAATTAGATCTTCAAATTTATAGATATTTAAAATTTAATGAGGAAGATGATAGAAAAAAAAGCCGAAAAATGGAGATTACGAGGAGAGTTAAAGATTAAAGCTCCCGATTGAAGATTTTAATAAAATAAATAACGAGAAAACATCCGAAGAGGTAATAACGGATCTCGGAATACTTTTAGAGTAAACACACGTGTATTAACAATACAATTTATATATATATATAAACATAAATAATTAGAAAACATCTGAATTCAGAAATATTTTTTAAATAGATAATGTATATTAATAATAAAAAAGAATTGTATATATAAACACAAATAAAATTTTAAAATAAATAAAAATAATAAAAAATAATTCACTAAAACAAATTTAAATTTTAAGATAGACTATTCACGCCACGGCGAGAAAGTGAATAATGTGGATGATAAGGGAAGACAATACGAAAGCTTTGTCATTTTGACATTAACATATCCTAAGCAAACAGTTAAACGGTTCCCACTCTCTCATTACAAAACAAAGGAGATTAGGGTTGTTCATTCGGTTAATTCGGTGGTCGAATCGATCGAATTACCATTAACCGAATTAATTAAACTTTTTTTCTTTAACCGTTAACCAAACCGAACTTTTTTAAAAAAAATATTAATCGAACCGAATAAATTCGGTTAATTTTCGAATTAACCGAAAAATTTTAAAATTTTCTAATTTATATAAAAATTAAATATTTTATAATTAAAAAAAATAGTTTATAATTAATTTAAATAACATATAATTATAAAATAAAAATTTTATATAATTTTTTTAATTAATTAATATTGATTTAGGTTTAAAAGTTATTGGATCTTAAATTATTAATTGGGTTTTAAATAGTTTGGGCTAAGCCCATATGTTATATATAATATATTTAATATTTTTTAATTCATAAAAATAATTTACAATTAATTCAAATAATATATAATTATAAAATAAAAATTTTATATAAAATTTTTAATTAATTAATATTGATTTAGGTTTAAAAGTTATTGGATCTTAAATTATTAATTAGATTTTAAATGGTTTGGGCTGAGCCCATATGTTATATATAATATATTTAAAATTTAAAATTTTATTTCGGTTAATTAACCGATTTCGAACCGAATTAACCGTTAACCGAATATCCAAAAAAACCTTAACCGTTCTCCGACCGAACTAATTCGGTGGCCGACCGAATTAGTTCAGTTTGATCAATTAATTCGGTTAAAATCGAATTTTGAACACCCCTAAAGGAGACTGCTCTCGCTTGCCTGCCCACGGGAATCCAGCAGCCCGTTGCAAGACTTCTTGCGGATTTGTCCCATGCGATTCTATGGGTCCCCGAATCTATTTTTTTAATAATAGGCATTTAGTCTATTAATTATTTCAAATTGAATTTTATAGAAATTTATTATAAAGACAATCCTCTCAACTTAATTTTATCGATTCGTAAATATTAAGATTCAAATTTTTGACATTATTTAAAAGAATAAAATAAAGGACATAATATTTCATCCTATTAAATCAACTAGTTATTAATATGATTCTAATTTGAAACAAACAATTTGAAACTAACTCATATTGAATCCATTGAGTAGCCTCAAACCTCAGTAGCTAAAGGGAGTGTTGTTCTCCTTTGAGGTATTGAATTCGAGTGACTGTGTCTGCATGATGTGTGTACGTTGTCAATTGTTAAAATATTATGAACATATATTACCTTATAATCATCCCATTATATATACACGTATATCAAGTGATTATTCTATCAAATGTTAGGGTGGTTTTGTCCTAAAATGCAACGTTGATGATGAAAAATACCTCAAGAAATAGAATAAGGGATAAAATAACCATTTTAGTAAATGTTAGGGGCTAATTTTGGCATTATGCCTTGTGCTAAATGTGTTTGTGATAATATCAGATGTGATTTGTTGTTGACGTGATTTGTTGTTAATTGAGTGTTTTATGATGTGAAATGCATGTATGTGTAATGTCCTTTATTCGAACCAATCAATTAATCAAGTAACATACAGGGACGGAACCAGAACTAAATATTGACAGGGGCCGAAATATTGGGCTATTTAAAAAATATAAAGACTTATTAAGTATTTAAACTTAAAATTCAGCATGAACTAAGCAACCTTAGTGATTAAGGGATTATTGTTAACCTTGAGGTCTCGAGTTCGAGCACTGCTCATGTGGGGATATGAGCGTTCATTATTAAATAGTTGAGAGTCTTTGCACATATATTACCTTGTATTCACCCTAGATTTATAAAAAAGAAAAAAAACTCAAAATTCACAAGATAATACTTAATTTGTGTAATATTAAGACTTACAATGACCTTAACTGTTATTAGACCCAAAATTTTGAGAACATGGGTTATCCTTTATTAGTTCGGTCCTAATTAAGTAAATATTTAATAAATTTTTATATTTTTATTTAAATATGTTGGGATTTTCGAAAGCTCGAATCGACAATCGAAACGGTTTGCAAAGAGGGGTCGGAACGGTTTTATGTTTAGGGAGTAAGGAGATTGAAAGATAGAGAATTGCACAGCGATTTATAGTGGTTCGACTTTCTCAACCAAACTCTACGTCCACTACCTTAGCTCCTCACCAAGGATTTTCCAACAAATTCACTAATTTGTTCTTTCTTTTGAGGATAAAGAGTAACCTTACAAACCCCCTAGTTTTTCCAGGCTAAACTAGAACCTTTCCCTAGCTTTTACACGAGATTTGCTAGAACCTTTCCCCTTTAC